TTTGCCGAGTGGGACCAAAAGTAAACTTTCAGTTTTATGCTCCGAAAAGTCTGCTCCTCCTTTTATTCTTACCTCCATGGTAAGGCCAACCCCGCAATACGACAGAAGCAGTGCTCCCAAGCTTTGGTCTTCAGATGGGGCGTCTTTTTGTTTACATAGGGAGCATTCTTGACAGCGCGGTGATAGTATTTTCACACACGATAGTTCCACACAACTCGAACTTCCTCATAAAAGAAACATTCTTTGTTGAATGGATAATAGTAATTTGTATAGTTTAGTGGAATTTAACGCAAAAATCACATCTTGGTTATTTTTCGATAACTCAGAGTAGCGATTTTGATTATGCATTTGTTTTATAAAATTGTAAACTACTGGAATACAAAATATATATTTTAGCAAAATTATTATGTGTAAATAATGAAAAATATATTACTGTATCTTTAAAATTGTATAGGTCTTTCAATACCCTTGATAGAATGTTCCTACTTTTATTTTATATTCCAAATATCAAGACTTTTTAAATAAAGGACATTTTTGCCATCCACATAATACTGTAACGTGTACTTTTTAAAATTTTTTAGGGGAGAGGATTAATAGTTGCTTTTTTAAATTAATCATTTCATTTTTAAGAAAATGAAAAATATTAAATATATATGGGTATTTATGCATAACTTTGTAAAAGGCATGTGTAAGTATTTATTAAATTATTTATAAATGTATTTGGAAATGAAGGTTTTATTCATTCATAAAACTTCTATGAATTTTAGTGTGAAGAAATCTGTTATTAAATATGTCTAAATTTATAATGATTATAAATTATCTAAATATAAAAATATTATAAAGTACTTCCTCACCTCCTTCCAGCATGCCTTCGTGGTGTAACGGTAGTACCCTCAGCGCGTATTCGAGAGATCTAGGTTCGAATCCCGGCGAGGAAATTGTTCATTTTTCATGGCATCTCCTGCTTCAAAATAACCTAATAATTCTAGAAACTTAACATTCAATTGTAAACATAAATTAAAGTTCTGTTGGCAAATTTGTTTATAAAACTATTTAAGCCCGAAAGTTTCGTACTGGAAAGCAATCTGTTAAAAGGTGTTGTAAAGTGAAGTATATGAGATGCGTAGGAAGTAGTAAAGAAGAATTTTTAGAATATATATTGTTGAAATTAAGGGTAAAAAAACTGTGATAAATATTAAAAGAATTATTTCTTCACATTTTATAATAATCCAGTTATGAGTTTTAAATAATATTAAAAACAAAAGCATTTTCCCCCTTTCATAAATATTCATAGAAAGTTAAGTACATGTAAATCAGCAGCAATATTTAATGTGTTTCACTATTAAAATAAAAGGTGCTCTAATCTGAAATGAACCGAACAGATCACTAATTAGGCTCTAATTTTTACTTCCTTGTACGAAGTAAAAAGGAAGTATTGTAATCGCGAAAAGTTTCAGGCAGCATATTTCAACGAAAATATCCATTTTGACCGCTACCGAATGCAATTTAACGATGTTTTTGCGTGATATCTGTACGTAAGAACAGAATAAAAGACTCGTTTCCTCCAAAAAAATGATAAAACTGCTTTAAAATTAATTTTGAAGAGAATTTTTCGTGGCGTCTGTACGAACGTATGTACGTAGTGCGTACGAACGTACGTACGTGCGTGCGTACGTACGTATCTCGCATAACTCAAAAACGAATAGCCTCAGAACGTTGAAATTTTGTATATAGGACTGCTATAACATGTAGATGTCCACCTCGTATTTTGGTTGCAATCGACCGCGCCAAACGTATATAAATACTATATTTATACACATATCCACTTTGTTACTCGGCACAGTGACCTCAGTTTCTTTACTCTTATATGTTTGTAAATTGTACATTTTTTGCTTTAAAAATGATTGAATTATGTTGTTCTTATCTCCCGGTTAAGGGTTTTATGCCTTTCGTAATTCTGGAAGCGATATTTGTACAATTATCAACAATTTAAAAGCTGTTTAAGTGCGGTTAAGTTTTAAATAACATGACGGACATATTTGTTTACATTTGAAACAGCAGAATTGTAGATTTTTGCCAATCTAGAGAGACTAAGCTTCGCAAAACAACAAAATAACGCCTTCATTTATTATTGCGAATTAAATCATGCTTAAATCCTTTCTGGAATTTTTTAGAGGAATAAGTGTTTAAGATTTACTTTTTTAATATTAGTAATTTTATACAGATATTTTGAGCTTTTATGTATTTTTGTCTTGTCGCGAAGTGAAAACTGAATTAATTGAATGAGAAATACTCAATCGTCTGTGAAAAACTGTTTTTTTTTTGTTTGTTTGCTTAATTTTTTTTTATCGTTCTAGCTTTATTAGTATTTGAAAAGAACATTGGCAACGATAATTCTTTAAATGATACTTTTGTGCTTCTGAGTTAATATGAATGAATACACTCATGTCCATAAATTAAGGATAATTCGGAGTCACGCGGAAATCGAACTCTAAAATAAATATATCACCTGTAAAATCACTACACACATCTTCAAGAATCATATGCAAATTTCAGGAAGTAACCAGATGACACCGATGGTACGTCACAATGACGAGAGTGTAAGAGAGTGATATATAAGGAATACAGGCAAAGAAGTAAAATTGTTTCGCAGGCGCTTTATAAGCATTTCAGTGCAATAACCGAATAGTTATGACACAAGGACGCATTTGGATGATTTTTTACGTGGTAGAATTATCGGCCGTCTGGAATGTGGGCGTACCCAACTGGAAGTATCAGACGAACTTGGAATTGCCCAGAGTGTCATCTCCAGGCTTTGGCAACGATTCCAAGATGATGGTAATGTGAGTAGACGTTACAGCACAGGTCGCCCCAGAGTTACAACGCCGAATGAGGACCGGTATTTGGCAGTTACTGCCAAAAGAAACAGGCGGAGCACAGCCTCAGACCTGTCTCGTCAGCTCTCTTCAGCCACTGGTACGACAATTTCAAGGCAGACCGTGTACAGACGCTTAGGGCAGATTGGTCTATATTCTCGTAGACCTGTCAGATGCGTTCCACTTACTGCAACTCACTGTCGCCTGCGGTTAGCCTGGAGTAGAGAGCATGCATTGTGGACACCGCAACAGTGGGCTTGTGTGATGTTTTCCGACGATTCCAGGTTTAGCTTGCAGTCTGATTCTCGCCGGACTTTCATATGGAGAGCTCCAGGTACCCGTTACCACCAAGAAAACATCATTGAACGACACCGTTACGGTGGTGCAGGAGTGCTCGTTTGGGGTGGAATTATTCTGGGTTCCAGAACTGACCTGCATGTTCAAATTGGAACCACAGCAAGCCAAATCTATCGGGACGTCATTCTGGAACAACATGAACGTTTGTTTCGGGGCGCCATGGGCACACAATTTGTGTTTATGGATGACAACGCCCGTCCTCACCGTGCAAACATCGTAAGCGAATGCCTTCAATCGGAGGATATCACCCGTATGGACTGGCCAGCATTCTCACCGGACTTGAATCCAGTAGAGCACGTGTGGGACATGCTTGGCCGACGAGTTGCAGCCCGTCAACCTCCTCCTACATGTCTACCGGAACTTCGGAGAGCATTGCTTTTTGAGTGGTGTAATATCCCCCAAGATCAGATCGATAATTTGATACTCAGCATGCCTAGGCGTTGTACGGACTGTATTGCATCGTCTGGGAGACATACAATGTATTAACAATCATACCAACCATGTAATATTGGTTTTTTGTAATTTTTTTTTTTTTTTTTTTTTTTTTTTTTTTTTTTTTTTTTTTGTAATTTGCTCCAGGGAAAAAAATCGCTAATTTTTTTAATAATATCAAACATATAGCATCTTTTTTTGCTCTTTACCTTTTGTTTAATAAATAAGCTTTACAAATAAGTCAAATTTGTTTTGCTTCTAACTCTTCCTTTGCCTGATTTTGCATTATCCTTAATTTATGGACATGAGTGTATAATACTGTTAAGTGAACCTAGTGTCAGAGTGTCGCTATGTTAAACAAACAGAGTGAATGGCAAATCGCAAAGGAATCGTGATCCACCGCCATAATGTGAGGTCTCAGACATCTTTAGCAACACGTACGAAATTACTAGAGCTGGTTTAGGAAGTGATGTCACATTCCCCGTATAGCAGCGACTTTTCATCATCGGATTATCATTTATTTCGAAGTTTGCAAAAATTCTTAAATCTTAAAAATTTTACTAATAATGATGACGTCAAATCGCACTTGGTTCAGTTTTTTGTCGATAAAAGGCGGAAGTTCCATGAGCGCGGAAAAGAAAGATGACAAAAGGACACCGAAGGAAATGGAAGATATTTGATTGATTAAAGGTTCATTTTTCATATAAAAAAATTCGGTGTTATTTCACATTTAAGAAACCGAAATTACTTTCTTGCCAACCTGATTATATATACATATATGTTCATACTTTTATTTCCTGGTTGAAATTCAGTGTATTTAATGGGTATGTGTTTAAACGCTATCTATTCCCTACTCGTATGAGCAATTTTGACTTGATCCGTCAGTTACCGTTTGTGTGAATGAGAACAAATACATCTACAATATTTCAATTTTATATACTAATTAGTTGAAATAACGAATCCTTTATAGACAGTATTAAATAATTTTTAAAGCCTAACTTTTGTTACCCTTTTTGCTCTTTAATAAATTAAAGTATTGAACTTTAATATTGATTAATATTTTAATCACTACATAAATTTATCGATAATTCATTAGATGAACACAATAAATTTAGGGTTTTCTCCTCTTTCGAAATGTTTCATTGAATACCTAAATATATTAAGGGCATTTTCGCTTTATCATATATCTTCTGATGAGACATTTATGTGTAGAATTACTTCGCTTTGCCTTTTTGTATTAATTAAGTTCAGTGTTTCATTAAAATTTTTTGTTTATTTCATTTACTAGTAGATTCAAATTAAAGTCTGATTTGTATGCTTACTTGTATTTTAAAGGATTCCGTTTCGAGTGAAGAATTTTCGTACATAAATCTTGAGTATACTCCAGTCCCAGAAAACAGGTAAAAAACTCCTATGATCTTAAGAATATTTAAAAAAAAAACGTAACAGATTTTGTTGTCTCTAATATAAATTTGCATGCTTTTATATTTTCTTTCTCAAAATTTATCATTCCTGCTCTTATTATTTATCCCTAAATAAATTATATAAAATAATATTGACATTAAAAACCTTTTTAAAGAACTCTTTCCTAAATTGTTGGAGAGTTACTTAAGGTACCGTATACGCATCAACCACTCATCTAGATAGATGATGCCACTGTGCGACATGCTTAATTTATTTTATACATAGCCTTTTTCTTACCCACTTCTCAGAGCGGGCTAAACATCAGATGCATAATTTATCTTCAGATTTAATCAATCCCCTGTTACCTTACGAGCTCAGCAATTTTTAAAGTAAGAAGCGAACTTCTTAATTGTTTGTGTGCTCAGGACGGATTTATGTAAATTAAATAAATTACAAATTTATCTAATTTACATAAATAGGATTTCATTTAATCTTTAACAGATTCAATCAAAAATTTATGAATATTTGCAACATTATTGTAATAAATGAAGAATGTTTCTAATGCCAACATTACATTCCTCTCAGAGGAAGCTTTAATATTTTTATGAATATTGTACTATTTTTATCCAGTAAAATAAAGCCTAATTCAGTTGAATTTGACCATAAAAGGAATTACATTATTTCTATAAGGAAGTATGATATAAAACAAATTATGACTCTGATACTTTTAATTGTAATGGAAACGATTTCATTCTGAATCAGTTTATACATGTTACCATGAAAAACCGAAACTGGAAAATGTCGACATTCTCCGGTGAATGTCGACATATCTCAAATACGTCGGTGAAAGACCGAATATTTGGTTATATTCTTCTTATACAATCGTACCATGGCCGATGTATGCCGATAATCACAGATATTCTCTGGTACAGGTCGAAAGGCGAAGCCGAGAAGACAGAGAGGCGTTATAAAAGCAAGGGACTCTTCTGCAATTTAAAGTGTTTATAGCAGTTTAAGTTGTTCAATAAATAATATTGTATAACGTCAATCACATAATTAAGTAAGTTATTATTGGTGTTATTTTCTTTCCTCATTTAAAATCTACTGTTCATTTTAAGCCCAACAGATTATTTATAAGCATGTGTTGTTACTTAAGCTTTCTCCTGTTTTGATATACAAAGTCTGTCTAGAAAGTAATGAGACCAATTCCATAAAATTCATTTATTTCAAGATAATTTTGCAGATATTATTGAATATTTTACAAAACAGCCTCCTCCTGCATTAATATACCATTGCCAATGATTGTGCCACCCACTGGTGCGCGCCTGAAAGTCTTCAGCTGGAATGCAGATCATAATAGGCGTCCCTTTTTTTTTTGCAAGTTCTCCAGACTGTCAAAGGTATAACCTTCTGAGCTGGATTTTAACTGGGGGAATACAGAAATGTTCGAAAGTGACTGAGATCGTGGCTGTACGGTGGCAGGAGCAGCATTACGACACGTTGTGTTTTGCTAGGAACTGAGTCACTAAGAAGGATGTGTGGAGCGGTGCGCTATCGTGGTGCAGAATTCAATTGTCTGTGTGCTCCGAGCGGACACGCGAGGTTCGATTCCTCATTTTTTGAAGCACTTCCTTGTAAAAATCTGCATTAACTGTCATTTCGGGTAGCATGATTTTTTTCGTGCACTATTCCCTTGGTGTCAAAGAAGGCAATGAGCATGGATTTCAGTTTTGATTCGTTCACTCCAGCCTTTCTTTGTCGAGGAGATTGGGGCGCGTGCCACTCTGCACTCTGTCTCTTTGTTTCAGGATCATACTGGAAGACCCATGTTTCGTCACCGGTAATCACTCACTTCAAAAACTTAGGGTCACTTGTTACACATTCCAGTAATTCATGCGAAATCGACTCAGAGTTTTCTTTCTGTCCGTTGGTCAAAAACCTTGGAACCAGCTTGTTACAATTTTTCTGCATTTGAAGCTTTTCCCTGATGATTTCATGCACAATCGATTGTGACAGTCTCAGCATCTCCGCAATCATTCGGACAAACGTCCGACGATTATTCAAAAGTGCTTTAATTTTAGCCACATTGCCTGAAGCTTTAGAACTTAATGAATTTCCCAGAGCGTTGTTCAGCATCGACTTCCTCTCTTCCGTCTTTGAAGGTTTGGTGCCACCAAACCACTTGTGCCTTGTCAAAGAATCCTTTCCTAAGTTTTTGTGTTAATATGGCAAACTTCTTAGTAGTCGATTTGTTTAGTTTTACACAAAACTATATCTCTGTTGAACCCTCCATTGCGTTCCGAAAACCGAATCTCACTTTCAAACGCGTGTCTCCTTTATGAGAGATCAGGGCGCTGAAAGAGATCAAAGACAACTGACTTTCTCCAAGACTGTGAAACAAGACAGCAACCACCACCTGTACTGCTCAGAAACTCCGCTCCTTTGGCCTTCTGCTTGGGGTGAAAAATTCAGTCTCATTACTTTCTGGACAGGAGTTATATACCATTATATGTTTTAATAATAAAATATCATTTAAAAAAAAAGGAACAAAAATATTTTTATTCACCATCAGTGCATGGTCAACATCGACATTTACCGGTGTAAGTGAGAAATAAGAATATTTAGCAAATATATCGGATGTACACCAAGAGATTACGTGAACGCTGACATTTACCGGGGAATGTCGATATTCTTCAGATTTCGGTTTTTAACGGTAATATACACGTATGCTTTTAAAGATCAAAACAGTATCAGGAACTGATTTCGCGTTTAATGTTGTGACATTTATGATTCAATTTCACTAACAGTTAACTTTATGTTAATATATTCCCTTATGCTTTGTTTTGTCACGTACTCGCCGTGACTAACGGTTTATGCAAATTGTACGATAAGCGGCGTAAGTTAAAACTAAAATGAAATCTTTAACATGTATTCTGAGTAGAAATTTCGCCGCTGTGCTATTGATTGCATGAAAACAATGCACATCACACAGAAAGTTTGAAAGCCGGATGTTAGCCACGCTCTTTAGATGAAGAAGTAAGTTCGTTATGTATTCCGTTCGACTCGACAGTTCTCCACGTAAGGTTGTGTTGCAATTGTATCTAATCAATATACTGTAGGTTAGTACCATGTTACTGTCGATGAGAAGTCGAAATATTTATTAGGCCAAAGGGGCGTTAGCCCAGAAGAGCTATTACTGAAACGGCAGTTTGCATCGAATCACTTTCCAAATTGCTGCCACCAAATGTTATCGCCTTTTGTTGTATATAAAGAAATTAAATAATGAAGAACCTTCAAGAATGTATGTATGTTCATCGCACTGTGAAAAAAAACGAGAGCCATTAAATCTTGAATAACGTAGTCCTCCACCCGAATATGGGCACCTGAACGCCCGGATTTTGAATTTGTTTTATTGACTCTTTCATATTTTGTAAAACTTTAAATAATTGTTCATTAAAAACTCAATGATTTTAAAGCGAGCAGTGGCAACACTGTACAGAACGAAACATTTTTATTTCTAGGGGGCAAGGCTGCCTATCAGAAATTCTAAAATTATTCTGTTTTTTAATATTTTTAGCCTTCAGGAAAGTTAGTCCAAATGCTATGGAAACGTGTATATGTGTATACATGAAAAAATTCCCCTTTGGGCGTAATATAAAATCTGAAATCTTTCAGATTTTTTGTTACTATTTTTAGCTGTACTACCACAAATCGTAAAGAATAAAATTTGTTATTAGCTTTACCTTTTGAGTGGTATCTTGTGTCCATATTAGGCATTAAGAAAAGGCCCAACGATTAGAGTTAACTCGTCGAGGTTAATCATTAGGCACGTAGCAAGAAGGTTTAGTTAAGCTGGCATCTTCACATGTTATTATGCTAAAAAATGTTTGCGTTTCGGGCAAATTTAAAGGAAGCATGTGGAAAACACTTTTAAGAAAGTCGTAATTTCGTGATATTGAGGTAATATACCACAGTGTATTCAGAGGTATTAAAACTGCAAAGAACTCAATTAGTAAAAAATTTCATAACATCCTTCTCGAAAACAATTCTTCAACCTCTCATTTAAGCTGTTGCATCTCTAAAAGGAATTAAGCTGAAGAGTTTGATTACAGTCATTAAACAGGATTGTGTGCAAGAAATTAATATGCATGAAGCATGTGCGTAAATTTCCCAATCATCTGCTCAGAAGAATTGCTATCCTTCTGTAACTTCGTATTTGGTTTTTAGAGCTTTCCAATGATAAAAGCACCTTCGGTAGGAAGAATAAAAGAATTAAAAACTACACAGCATTGGTACGTTTATTAATCTAACAACAGTTATTAATGTTGTCAAGCATAAAAGAGCAATGTTGCTGAACTGTGTAATGGGATAGAGTGGTTGCCATAGAAACGCCACCTTACCTATTTGCTTCACAGAATTCTTTCGTAACTTAAATCTCGCGGTCGAGTTCCTCCTCTCTTTGATGTCGAAAAGTGAAGAAGATATTACATGCTTCTCCTGTTTAGAATAAATCCGATCATTCTTCTCACCTAACTGCTTTAACGTTTCTATGACAACGAAAGTAGATTTTTTTCACGTCACTAATATAGCAATGACTATGCGGCTGTTGAAAGAATACCTTTTCTAATCTAGTAACTTCAAATTTTACAACACTTGTAAAAACACCTGAAACAAAAAGGTCATTAAAGCTCTTAAAAGATTATCTAATGATATTAGAATCAAGAAATGCAAAAGCATTAAATTTAATTTTAATTTCATGCTTTGGCGCACAGTGTTATATCTCAATTCCTTTTTACTTCCTTGTGCCAAATAAAGTACATATTGTATCGCGAAACATTTTAGTTATCAGATTTCAACGGAAATATCCATTTTGACGATTCAAGATTTTTTGTTTTGTTTTGTGTGTGTGTGTGTGTGTGGTTCGAGTATCGATACTCGAACCACACACACACACAAAACATTTTTTATGACTCCTGCTTCAAAAAATCTTAAGGGG